CTTAGGGTTCCTCATGATTAGGGTTTCTCGGTATTCTCTGGGTAATAGGGTTTGTGTCAACCCTATTAGTGTTTTACCTAGTCAATAGCTGTTTATTTTCTTCTTGTTCTTATCAACTTGTATAAGGGTCTTATCTTGTTGTCAACTCCTTAATCCAAGGAGCTTAGTCATGTTCCCTATGCCGGCTGTTTAGCATGAGTCAAGGAGATTTGGGATAGGTAACTTGAGTGTTGAGTGTAGTTTGCAACTCACTCAAACTCCCCTATATATTTGTAACCTGCGTATGCTCATTATGATTTCCATATTAACAAATCAAAAACTTCGAAAGTCAACGCTTAGTTTAATCATGCTATGGTATATGGTATATCATATTAGCAAAAATTATTAAGATCAATCACACTAGGTAATTTTCTTAGAAACCTGAGTAACATTTGTTCTATCAAGGCAATCGATGCAGTTTGATCTGACAATCCCTTTCTTCTCCTTCAGTATATTGCCTTTCGCATCTACGAGGAAGTATCTGCTCAGCTGGAACAGTTTTGATTAAAAACAGTATTACATATAGCCAGCATACCTGGATTTTGGCATACTTAATTCAATCAGATATTACGCTTTCATTACCCTTGCTTTTCAAAATGCTCTGAGATCTGCTCGTATAGAACCTTTAGGTTTTCAAAGTTTGAGTTACCACATGCATGATGAAAGTCAAATGAAACGTATCTGCTACAAAAACACAAGCAGTAAGTTGAGAACAAAATCTCATTTCTGACATTGTTCTCAATGCCAACCAATAGAACTGACTTCATTATAAGCAACCTTGAAAACAAAAAACAAATCTACTTGAAATGGGAAAATGATTCAGTTGGGAGCCAACATAGTTGCATACATAAGTATGCAAATTGTCACCTCACGTTTGGTAGATTTTGCATTTCGGCAGAAAAATGCCGTGCTTAGTTGACCTTCATCGCCATGCTACAAATAACAATAAACAGAAAAATTATAACAACTGGAAATTTATGAAACAACATATGCTTTGCATACAATTAAAAAAACAGTAAAACTTGTGTAGCACAAGCAGTCAGCTGGGAAGAATTACAGACATCATTGCTTATTTAGCAAATCCCAGAGCCGCAAAAAGGTGAGCGTGCCGTACAAACACAATTTGAAGGAAAAAAATTGCGAACATTTCAGCTTAACATAAAGGTGAACCAGTGTGTGCAAGGATTGTTAAATTCAAAGTAAAATGTAAAAGAGAAGAAACCCTTACTTTATCTGTTAGTCTATTGCCATTGTATCTCCATATCTTTGGGAAAGATAAAAGAAATGGCGCTCCACAACATTTGACTGTAAGTAGATTGGGAAAATTCAGAACACTACACTAACAAGAACTGTATCATGAAGCTAGAAAAGAGTAAAAAGGGATGGATTTGCATCTCTGGCAACAAATTACTGTCTGCTCATGAGTAATAATCCTAAGTTGTGGTTTATAGCTCAAGTCAACAATTTGCTCCCAAAGAAGCGGAATTGAACCTCGAATCTGAACAACATATCAAAAGTATTATGGAGGGTTTTTATTCAGAAAAAAGGAATAGATAAATAAATCTTCTTGTATTAAATTATGACAAAACTTCCAATCTGCTATCAGTTTTAAGGGTTAATAGGTGAAACAGTGTACTGCATATTTAGAAGGTATAGTATTGAAAAAGTTCTCTAAATGTATAAAAGTTGGCAAAACTAATCTATCCTTGCTAAACTGTACAAAAGTTTCATCTATGTGAGGGGCAGTCCATAAACCTCAGAAAAGAATGACAAAGTTCTACAATTTTGATATTTCTCACATCAACAAGGAGCTCAGAATGTGAAGAAAGTTGAGCTTCCACCATAAAACCAATTGACAATATGGGGATTAACCCAATTTACTTATAAGCTCATGCAAGGTCCCTCCTTCCATCAATATGGGATTCATTCTCAACAAAATATACTTTTCTCAAATGTTTAATCCTCGGCCAACTTAGTTGATCACATGTACAATGACACCATGATATAAGTGTCCTATTTAGGCAAAGAAACATAATAGTAACTAAAAATATTCCGATACAATAATACCTCAGCATACATTTCTTTTCTGAACCTTCATATGAGAATTACCTGCAATAATGAGGACTGGAAACCTTCAATCTCCACCAACTGCTCAGTTTCAATAAAATTAGCAACATCTCCAAGGTTGGCTCCTCTTCTCCACATTCTTGTCCCTACGCGACCACATTACAGTGTTTCATGTTTAAGTCCTTCAAAACATGCAGATACAGACACAAAAGTGACTACAAGAATCAATCATCTCTATAACATTGTATCTAGATGCTGGGTACACCTCCTTGAGACTATCGTAAGTGTGGCTTAAGGAACACCATAACATATTACTCACCTAAACCCTGAATCTCAATCTCAGGATATTTCCTTGTATTAAAGGAATAATGAAACCATCAACCTGCCATGAGAAAATTAACGAGCATTAGCAATAAAATTTGTGCGCAAAGAACTGACAACTTTTGGAAATGCTGTTCTTCCTTCAAGTTGTTTAACTATTATGACCTCGAAGATGGAAAGTCTAACCTTATACTCGATAAGTTTGTCCAAAAGATTTCTGTTCCAAACAAATCGGGGGTCAGCCTGAAAACACAAATAATGTTAAAAACTACCAAGCAATTACTAGTCATAGATCGTAATGTGTAAAGTAATCATTTGATAGGAGCTAAAATGGCATTAAGAGAAAAGACTGATAAACATCCATATGATATGGTGTGTCAGTTGACTCGATACTCATGCTTTCTTGTCTTCTAGTGCAGGCAAAAAATCATTTGGATAAAGAGGAAGGGAGAATCACTTGACAACCAAAAAACTGCACAAAGAATGGCATGTCTTCAAGGATATGAACTGAGAAGGCATCTTTATTGAGCTGAGAACAAAAGATAAGGATAGTGCACAAAAACACAGAAGTAGGCAAATCCTTAGGGCAGCCTTCCTTTCTTTCCCTATTAACCCTCCGACTTGGAAAGAGTTGAGGATGCCTAGTAAACTAAACGCTGGACAATATATATGCTTATATGCACCTGATGTATATAACATGAATCACTTTTAAGAACTAATTAGGTCCCGATAAACCCAATATTCCAAATTCCAACTAACCTGCTTCCATATTGGTTTGGCCATCCATCCTTCCACTAACTTACATCTTCTTTGAAAGCTGGTAGAAATGATCAATTATATATGAATAGATAAACAAACACAACACTTTACCGAATAGATACATAAATTGACATGATAAGATTTTGAACAGTAATCACACAACAGCAATGAAAACAGCAGAACGTACTTAAACGGCACCCTAACAGATACAAAAAAATTAAACTTTGGCTGAGTGCTAGGTATAAGAATTTACTTAGTGTTATATCAGTCTTGTACGAGAAGTACAACCCCGGAGTTGATTGGACTGTTTTCAACAGAGCCATGAAGTACGCCTCATCCTTTTTCTGCACAAATACATCACAAATTTAAAACATCCCAAGTCACTTTCAGCTAACGAATCAAAAGAATCAAAACCCTTACCTCCTGAGAAGTTGAATTCTTCGTACCCTCGTTGCACGACAGAAACCTCATCGGGGTCACTCGATAAACAGGGAAGCCGAGATAAGTCCCAACTTCCGTCTGCGAAGTTAGCACAAGAACATAATTTCCTGCACCAAACACGTCGATTCAGAAAACACACACCATTTCCTGGAAATATAGCCATTCATTCCACAGATTTATACAATAAAAATAAATAAAAAATAAAAAAGGTATACACATTTTGGTTTCGAAATACTCCAAAGCGAGTAAAAGCAAGCAATTGACTTACCTGTAAGCAATCTGATCGTTCCCGCCACTCCGTATATCGTCGAGGTTTTCGACGGACTTGCAGAAGAAGAAGAAGAATCACCTAGCAATGAGATGAAAATTTTATACCGTTAAGCGGCTCCATGGCGCCGTCGCGGCGGTCGATCAAGAAGCCTCGATCCGGAGCCGCGGATTTGATCACGAACTTGTCCTGAAACTCCTGCAATTCCAGCTCCTCGTACAGCTTGAAACTTCCGCCGGATTTTGATCGGAGAAGAAAATGGTGGTTTATCAAATGTCTAAACGACTCCTCCCTTTGTTTTCAGGCTTTCAGCTGATAACCAACGTGGAAGACGATGGATTCCTTAAATGACGTTTTTGCCCCTAATGACTCGTAATTTATTCTAATTATTGTCTGCGGGCAGCGCAGCCGGAGGCAGTGGTCTTTGTGTTAGTGCGAGGAGCGACCATTCCGCACCTGCTACTGTACCGTAATAAATTGCAGCCGCAATGTTCGTCCAAAGTGACGGGAGTGGATGACGTGGCGACACCTGGATACTGTCCAAAGTCAGTGTGCATGAAAAGGAGAGATGGAGAGTTGGACTGTGTCAACAGGAAACAGTTGGAATTGGGTCCACGTATTTGGGCTCAGTAACTAACTTTTAAAATCTGTTAGTTGGAACCGTTTAAAGTAGATGGACTGTGCGAAAAAGTAGTAACCGTTGGATTTGTGTGATGATTCGGCTGATCATTTGGTTCCTGAGCAGTTTCTGGGATCAATCGCGCACAGCTAAGTTGACTCTAAATTTTCCATTGCAATTTAAGTGAAATTTTGCAGATGGTGAGGATCAGCTTATCAATGCGTGACTAGTCTTATCAATATTCATTTTTCTTTAGCTTGCCTTATCATGAAAGATACAACAAATGCAGGTTAAACCAATTAGTCTGGACAGCGTGGCATTGCACCCAAATTCAAGTCTCCTTCTCAATAATTCAATTTTCGACCGTTGGGTCCAATGAATTAAAGATAATCAAAGAATAAAAATTAACAAGTGCGTAGAAGGTAAAAAAGAATGTGTGAATATTACCACGACAAATATCAAATTGCAAAAGGATGGAAAAACCAATGAAGATGAAATACAGCTTCTCATTCCCATTCCACCCAAACAAATTTTCCTTCACCCAACTTTATTTGCTCAAAGTTTAAGAGTTACAATGCCTAAATCTAAGCATGACAGCTAAACTTTTGATACAAGCGACACTAGGAGAGAGGAAATCGAACACAGGACACACGAGTGCCTAACTTAATCATTTATATATATGAATACAAACTCAATTGCCTCGTACAGTTTCAGTATCACATACCCCTGATCAAATCTGCCATCTACATCGACACCAAAACTTGAACAATCACTTTTTAAACAAGCTGGCAAGCTCGCCCTTCTCCTGCATGGAACTTAGGATATCACATCCCCCAAGCAGTTCTCCATTCACGAATATCTGGGGGAAAGTCGGCCAGTTACTGTACTTCTTCAGAGTCTCCCTCAATCCTCTATTATACTCTTCGTCAAGCACATCAACGCTCTCATAATCCACCCCGTGGTTTTCAAGAATTCCGACAACCTTCTGCGAGAAACCACACAATGGGGCACTTCTCGAACCCTTGATGAAGGCCACAACTTTGTTCTCATTCACCAACCGGTCAATGAGTTCCTCCAGTGGCACTGTCAGCTGCACATTAGGACCAGGTGTTAGCCGGAGATCAGACTTCTTCTTCCTCGGTGGTGGCTTTTGGACCCATGTGGCAGTTGCCCGATTCATTTCCCGGGGGAACCTTCCCAGTTGCTTTTATGTGTTCTTCCATCCATGATTTCCAAGCTTCCGTTAGAACCGCCCTATCTGGTTCATCTACTACCCCAACCTACAGTACAATATCATCACTGTTAGCAGAGCAATATCGCTTATTTCCTTGTACATTTATACTAGTTTTGCAGTAAAATCGACACCAATTTTACCAGTTGTCTCCTTTCTTTCTAGACACAGAGCCAAAATGGCTTCTTAATCTTTTCACTTTGAAAGCAAAGTTCAAACATTTCGATTCGGTCCAATAAACTTCTATCCTACAGGGAAAAAAACACTGCTTTCACCAGAGTGTGCATTACCCACACAAATAAGCAACAATGTGGATTATGGGTTAATCTTTAAATTGTAAAGATGCATAATTTATTTTCGTAAAAAAAGAGTTTGTAGCTCAATTGGTTAAGAGCATTCCTAGTTAGAATTCTCCTTCTCCATTATCGCTTGTATTAAAAAAAGAAAATTGAATTGAATTGATATATTTTTTTAACAATTAATGAATTCTACAGCTCACTATAAATTGAATTGAGCCCTTGAATCAACCTATATATGTTCAATTTCACAAAAACTAAACTTTAGCAGCTAATAAAAGTCCCAGAAAAGTCCATACCTTAACGGAGTAGCAAAGCTCCGGCAACGACTTCCGGTGGGAGAGAACACTCGCCGCTATGTTCCTCGATAACCCGACGAACTGCAGCTCTCCGCTCTGGTCAAAAACGGCGTAGACCCCAGTCTCCGCCGGCAATTTCCCGGCGATATCTACCTCCTCCGGCACGGTGACTAGCTCGGTCTCCGAGAGGGTCTTAACCGCCAAAGTGATGACCGAAGCTCGGGGCTTGGATGCGGCGTAAGGTTTGAGAGAAATGGAGCGGAAGGTAGGGGCTTTGGTTGGTAAATTGAATGAGGGGTTGGGGGTATTTTGGGGAGAGTGAGAAGAGAATAAGCGGATAAAGGGAGATGAAGTGTGGATTGCAGAGAGGTGGATGATTGTCGCCATTTGAGATTCAGCGAGAGAGAAGGTCGGGAACGAAGGTTCTGGTTTAGACTTCAACAGATATTGTTAAGGAAACGGATTCGGTTTCTGACCCGACCCGATTGTTTGAGGGGAGCTATTGGGTTTGACTATTTGATCCAATGGAGTTGAGCCTAAGAGTATGGACTAAAAGAAATAAATAATATTGAGCCCGTGTTACGAGAATGTCATTTTGCCAATAAGAAATTCGCGTAAGAAAGTTAGAACCCATGTCAATATGTGATTTAATTAGAACACTAATATAGTTATTAAGATTTGATGGTTTGGGATATAGTTTGCATCTCCGATGTGGGTTTCTCTGGATAAAAAGAGAAAATCTTATGTGCATCTGTAATGTCATTGTAGTCATATTTCCAACCAATTTATGTGAAATATGGAAAATATGAACACTGCGTGGCCTGCATATACTTTACCGTCACATGAAAAAAGAAGTAATATATATATATATATATATATATATATATATTTAAATAGAATGATACTCTCCTGTTAGACAACTTAAAATATTATTTATCATATTATTGATATAATATGGACGGTTAAATAAAAATTATCAGTAATCCACATTGTAATCCACAACATAATTGTCTGGCAATAAACATTCACGTGTGTATGAGTGAGAAGATTCCACTGGCGGACTCAGAATATTTAAATAGTGGGGATCATGATTTTGATTAAAATTATTTTATTGAACTTTTTCGTTGAGCATTAGGTAGAAACTTGTCAATTCCTGCCGTTATTTGTCTAAGATTTATACCAATATATGTCAACAATTATCATAATGTGTAGAGACTTATCGAGAGTGGCTACAAGCAACTGTTAAAGAATGTTGAAGATTGTCAAAGCTTGTAAATTAAGGGATTTCATCAAACATTTGGTGCGTACAATATAGTTGCACACAATAAGAGAGAAATGAAAACATGGATGAAAGAAAAGGAAAAACATAAAAGAAGTAGGAAGAGGATGTAATTTTATTTTTCCTAATTGTTTATAGGATAAAATACAATACATGTATATATACATGCGGTTTTTAAAGTTGACGGAATCATGGATAACCAATTACCCATGTTGGCCTTGCCACTTGAGAGAGATGCGGCGGGCAGCATTGGCTAAGGGCGAGGCTACCCTTTCGGTAATTTGGACATTTACTGGTAATGGAGTTGGGCCTCACAGTATGGAGAAATTTTTAGGTGTGCCGGGAACACCATGCCACGTGGTGTTCCCTCACACATAAAAATTTAGTTTTATTTATTTATTGAAATAAAAAATTGAAGTATATTCAAAATGTCAAATTTTTATGTGTGAGGGAACACCACGTGGCATGGTGTTCCCGGCACACCTAAAAATTTCTCCACAGTATGGACTAAAAGTAATATATATTTTTTTAACAGAATGATGTTCTCCTGTTAAACAACTTAAAATATTATTTATCATATTATTAATATAATATGGACGGTTAAATAATAATTATGAGCAATCCATATTGTAATCCAACAACATAATTGTCTGGCAATAATCATTAACGTGTGTATGAGAAAATTCCACCGGCGGACTCAGAATATTTAAATAGATTTGACTGAAATTATTTTATTTGACTTTTTCGTTGAGCATTTGGTAGAAAATTGTCAATACCTGCCGATATTTGTCAAAGGTTAAGCTAATATATGTAAACAATTATTATGATGTGTAGATGTTTGTCGAGTGGCTACAAGCAACTGTTAAATAGTGTTGGAAATTGTAAAGGCTTGTAAACTAAGGGTGCGTTTGTTGCACCGGATTAACTCGGACTGGACTAGCCTTAGGGACTAAGTTGAATTGGCTTAGACTAGACTAAGCTGGACTGATTTAGTGAAGCGTTTGGTAGAGTGCCGGACTAAAAAAAAGAATAGTTAACAACTATAACTTTATATCATTAAATACACATTTAATAATATTTTGTTATTAACTCAATAATATTTTATTTTTTATTCAAGCTTTTTCTTTGTGTTTGTGCTTGGGATGCTCTCCTCTATCTGGACTTTCTCCTTGGGAGTTCATTCTTTTCTTCCTCGTTAGTGTCGTCCTCCATCACTCATTTTTTCCTGCAAAACAATATCCTTCAAAGTTATTTTTCCTGCAAAATTGTCCCTAAAGCTACTCTCTCCTCCGTCTCTCCATGTTTCTTTGTACCAAAGCTACTCTCTCCCTTTCTCTATCCATTTCTCGGGGATTTTCTGGGAAAATGTTTTTTTTTTTTTGGGAATTACTGGGAATAAGGAAGAATTTTGTATGGGGATTGTTGTTGTTTTTGTTTTGAATTTTTTTTTTTTAAATTTTGGTGTTGAGATTTAGGCAATGGATGGGCTGGGTTTCAAATCTGGGAAAGAGAGAAGCAGATAGATGGGCAAGGGAGAGAGAAGCAGATAAAGCAGATGAAGCAGAGCGAGGGAGAAAAGCGGACGAAGAGAAGCAGATGGAGTGAAGCAGCGAAGGTCTTAGCAATCCGATGCCTTTCGATGGGACTCGCTAAGACCGTCTAGCGACGTCCTTTGTCGAGGCGAGTCCCGGCTAGTCCCACTAAAGGTTGTCCTGCTGTGTAACAAACACAGTATTACTCTAAGTTTTAATCCAGTCCAATCCAATCCCACTTAGTGAGGGCAAACAAACGCCCCCTAAGAGACTTCAGTGACCATCTGGTGCGTATAATAGAGTCACACACAATAAGAGAAAAATGAAAACATGGATGATAGAAAAAAAAAATTGAAGAAGAAGTAGGAGGAGGATGTAATTTTATTTGTCCTAACTGTTTAGAGGATAAAATATAATACACGTATATATACACGGGATTTTTAAAGTTGATGGAATCATGGACAACCAATGACCCATGTTGGCTTTGCCACTTGAGAGAGATGCAACGGGCAACGTTGGCTAATGGCGAGGCTACCCCTTTGGTAATTTAGATTTTTACTGGTAATTCGTACGAAGTTCTTTCATTCAGTGAAAATTAGTCCAGGTCGCCTAACTGAAAATTTATGAGTTCGCTCTTACGCAAACGCAAGAATAATGACTTATATGAAACAGGTTTACCGACACTATGGCGTTCTATACTAATAAAAAATGATATTTGTAAGTTTCTCAACACGTTTCACTGTATTATCAAATTGAAAAGTCACGTAATGATGAATCTTTTCCATATAAGTTGTTCTTTCGCAGAAGACCCTCTATACCTAGGTAGGACCTAAATAAAACTGATCATAATAGTGAGTGCCCACTAGAGTATATTTACTATGAATATGGATCCTCTTTGTAAGGATCTCGATAATTTGTGAATTTTATCTGTTCATCGTACATTGTGTGGTCATAAATCATTTTAATTTTTTTTATTTAAAATTGAACATAAACAGTATCTAACAAAAACTGACCACACGATGTACGATGAACGGATATAATTCACGGATCCTTAAGATTCTCACAAAGATGATCCTGGTGGTATTTATAATGATGGACTTTACAAGTTGATCATCGCTTAAATAAATGAAATCTGGAGTAAAATTGCAGCTAACTTCAAACCTAAATTAATGCTAAGCAATCATTGACATGGGATGATTTTTGTTGCAGTGGAAGATGATGTCAATGTTACGTTGGATTAATTTTCCACGCCAACAGCATCATACCACCATCACCCCAAATTTCATGAACCTGTTCTGCCAGATTTGCTAATTCAGACTTTTCCATATCTAGGTCAAAATCTCAGAACTGTACCTGTTCATCCACATTAATCCTAGTTACCATGTCTATAACAACTGCATAAAGCTTCTTCTCCCCATGTTTTTGCAACAGTATTACAAATCAGTCACACATGACTATGCAAAAAAGTTAAAACGCACTCACAATACGTAATTGATTTAAAATAAAATCATTGAGCCATCCAAAATATAAGTAAACTTCTCGAGTTTTGTCATTGACTTAGAATAATAATATCATGACATTCTAAATATAAGTAAACTTCTCGAGTCTCGCCTTTGAGAACAAAAGTTTTGAGTGGCTTTCATTGACAATGATCATGATGTGCACAAGCAGATACGTGGTACTGATATACTGCTGCTACATCGAAAATTCAGTACAATACTCTACCTCAACATGCTCTCTCATCATTCAATCAATACACCTTTAACAACCTGAAAATGAAATATTGGCTGCTGATTGATTACTGGAACCAACAGAGAGACTTACACTTCATACAGTTCAAGCTAAGTGGCTAGTCTAATAGTGAGATTTTATAAGTTGAAACCGAGATTTCAACATGTAACCGAGTATGTATATTATATTAGCATTATTTCTTTATTGTGTTTAGCGTGATGAATATTAATAAAATGACACACAATCGGTTGAATCAGTGGCGGAACTCATGTAGACTCGAGGTTGTCATGGCCTCCTCAGCTATGATATGGCTCCAATTAATTGACTTAAGTAATTTTGAACTTTCATGTAATTATACTAGAAAGTTGTTAACAAATGCGCTTTTGGTCCTCCTAGATTCTTTAAATGGCCTCCGCCACTGGGTTGAACCCTAGAATCTCTCCTTAACAGGAATCTACGTTGGTGAAAGTTTGTCCCCTTAATCGGATTTTACCGAGTATGTACCTATTGTCCGATTATGAAACAGACGGCTCCTATTCAAATACGTACACACATATATGATACACACACACACACACACATATATATATATATATAGATGATGGATGAATCCTACCAGATAGCCAAAGAAGTCAAAAGAGAGAGAGCCTCCCTTCTTTGTTACCCTATCTATAAAAATAGCAGTAGCTTTTTTCTCACCTAATGAAAGATTCTGAGCTACTTTAGCAATAAAACAGTTGTTGGATGATCATCATATAGGGCCATGGCCAGCTCCCCACTATATGTATATGCAGAGGACAGAAAAGGAACCCAAGATGTTAGCCTTGCAACTCACCCCTAAACCTTCTCCTTTAAATAATCCATTCCTTTAGCTTCACTCCTACTCAAAAACCCAAAAGATGTTTCCCCAAAAATAAAACACGTCCTCATCATTCTGTTTGTCCACACACCCTTTCATATAATCCTCCCTTCAAAACCTTTCTCTAGCACTCCACCCTCTCCACATGCCATGAGCTTCCCTCCATCTACTGCATCTGGTGCAATGAAAGTGTTTCGCGGAAAGCTACATTTTCCAATTATCATGGTCTGCGCTATCGCCTTCATCAGTCTCCTCTACACCGAACGGATTGGCATCATTCTTTCCTCCAACCCTTTTTTCAAAGTTAAATCATGTTCCAAAACCAATGCCACTTCGAAAAATCGTAAGTCTAATTAACTACTGATTTTTTTTTCCAACTAAAATTTTCCTAATTGATGTTTTGTGGTCACCAATCACTGTCTAACAGAAAATAGAAATGCTACACTGGATAAGTTGAGGGATACCATATTAGATGATAGGTTTGAGTTTGACCCTGAGGAGTGCAGTATTGAAAATGGAAAGTGGGTGTTCAACCGTTCGATCAAGCCTCTTTACTCGGATAGAAGTTGCCCGTATCTTGATAGGCAAGTTTCGTGTGTCAAGAATGGACGTCCGGATTCTGGCTATCGCTACTGGCAATGGCAGATCCAAGATTGCACATTGCCAAGGTTGGTAACTTACAACTGCATGTCAAAACACATCTATGCAGTTTATTATGCAAGCTAGAATGTTGATATATTTATTGGGAGCTGCTATCTGCACTCCGAAAAAATCATCTTACATCTTCCCAAGTTACAGAAACAAAGGAAGGATGAGTGCAAGATGACTATTTCGGAGTACTGATAATATGCTAGTTTATACTAGAGGCAAACGCAATCTTCATGGATTAATTTAAATACGTACTGCATGAAGTTCTGTTTTTCTAAACAGTTAATTTCTTACAACTTTGTATGTAGATTTGATCCAGAAGTTGTTCTTAAGAAGCTTAGCGGAAAGAGGCTACTTTTTGTTGGCGATTCTTTGCAAAGAGGTCAATGGCAATCTCTAGTCTGTATGGTTGAATCCATCATACCAGAGGACCAAAAGTCCATACGACGCGGGCACTCTCACACAGTCTTCAGAGCCAAGGTACGTATAGTTCTTAGTTTTCGCTCATTTGAAACGACGATTAAAGGAAACAATTGAAGGCTTGAAGCTAATCAAAATCTTTCCATCTTCAGGAGTATAATGCAAGTATTGAATTCTACTGGGCTCCATTTCTTGTTGATTCCAATTCTGATGAACAGATAATCGGAAATCCGAAGGAAAGAATACTAAAAGTGGATTCAGTTGCCAAGCATGCCAAATACTGGACAGGAGTTGATATCCTTGTGTTCAACACTTACGTTTGGTGGATGAGCGGCTACACGATCAAATCATAGTAAGTTTAGAGGAATATGTATAAATAGAGCCGGTTAAAAACTTATAACAAAAGTAGAACCGTAGAGACATTAAAATGAAGAGGAACCAAACAAACAGTCTTTATATTTCCGGGTTCTATTCTGATTAAAAGTTCATAACCGGTTCTATTTGTGCATATTTTGTTTTCTAAGAAATTTAACTTTGCCAATGGAGTATCGGCATTTTCTGTTTGGTTTAAGATTGATCAATCTGAGCAACAATGTGTAATTGAACACAGCTGGGGCTCGTTTCCAAACGGAGAAGAAGGGTACGAAGAATTGGAAGCACCGGCTGCCTACAGAATAGCATTGAAGACATGGGCTAACTGGGTCGACACAAATGTGAATCCGAACAAGACCCGTGTTTTTTTCACTACTATGTCCCCTACCCACATGAGGTATCTCTCCCATACACAACTTGCTATGATTAAACACAAGATAAAAATTATGCAGAGTATGTTTTTACTAATGACTTGAGTAACAAGTTAAATCTCTAATTCTGCAGAAGCGCAGACTGGGAAAATCCAGACGGGATGAGATGCTTCAACGAAACAAAGCCATACATGAAAAAGGGATTCTGGGGAACTGGTTCGGACAAGAAGATCATGCGTGTGGTGTCCGAAGTAATAAGCAAAATGAAATTTCCGGTTTCAGTACTCAATGTAACGCAGATGTCAAATTACAGAGTTGATGCTCACACAAAAGTTTACACCGAAACCGGAGGCCAGGTACTAACTGATGAGCAAAAGGCTGATGTGCTGCACAATTCAGATTGCATACATTGGTGCCTTCCTGGAGTTCCAGACACATGGAATCAAATTTTTGTTGCACATTTATAGCGATAAGAATCGAAAGTAACACGTTTCTGATTTCTGTTCAAGATTCTTGTTTCATTTTATTTTTTTAATTGAATTGAATTGAATTAGTACAGCAACAGCTGCTGAAGCAACTTGTATGTTCTTAGTTTTTGTTTTGGCAAATTTCAATCATCCAAGAAACTAGATCATGGTAATTATCCTGGCTGATTTACCATGGTGAATTGCCCTGCAAATCATGTTTCACAACATTACACAAGTGAAATTTGGTAAAATATACAAAACATGTCATCCAAATACACACCATCAAACATGTGAGATGCAAGAAAAATTATTGATCCTAATACAATCACCTTCGCTCCTCGCGTGCTAGTCACATGATCAGTGTTGTGAAAGTTGTATACAACTGTTACATGTTGACTATTTGCATTCAAACTGGTATTTGTGTCCTTGACCCATCTTGTCCAGAAAGTTGATGCCTATTCTTTGCTTATTTTTTTTCACTACTATGTAACATTAAATAATATTAAAAATAAATAGTTGAGATTGAAAATAGAAGATCTTAAACAATTGTGGAAATTAAATTTAATAATTAAAACAGTCGTGACATTAAATGGGTAACATTAAAGTCACACTCAATGATTTATTTGACAGAAAGTGATCCGTGACCGTTAACTCGCCATGCCAACAAAAGTTTATGGGGCTGTTTTCAGCCTAGTATTTTCTGGCTTCATCAACAAGCTATTGGAGAAGATTATTGAGAGAGAGATGGCGGCTGCATATTCGAGTAGTGATGTTGTTTTGGTGTCCTTTCTTAATCTGACGGAAATCGTTTTTGGTCAAAATGTTTTTTCAAACTAATTTTTAGTAAAAATTTAAGTGAATTCTGAAAAAGTATTTTAAATGCTTCATAAAAAATCATTTTAAAGTTTTTTGGAATCCAAAATCAATTTTATAAAAAAATGTTTTCAGTTATTTTAAAAATACATCTAAACGAGCCCGTAAATATTTATTATTTGTTATACACACGATCTTTCACGTATTGGTTGAAGCTTCCAAACAACTCACGTACAAGTACAATTTCTTAAGTTTTAGTCATGTGAAGTAACATGACCACCATGTCAGGCATCGTATGTACAAGATGAGTTTGACTACACACAATAGTATGTGATTGACTTGTATTACTGACCTATTGCGATACTCTAGTATAACATACATGTATTTTTTTGCTCACAAAACACTTGCTTTGTCACAAAATTTGCCTTAAAAATGAATTTAAGTTCAACCGTATTTAAACTCGAAAAGTTGCTTAATTAATACAACTATGACATGTTTACTTATTTCTAAATAAGCGAGAAGGAAATGAATTGAGAATGGTCGGATTAAAATTTAAGATCTTCCTTTTTAATCTACTACTGTTTATAGTTAACTCAAAGTACAACTCATCTCTAAAAGGTCCGTATGAATTAGCCCAGTGGGCCTAAGGTCCGTATAATAGAAGATTCTTCTCTCTGGGAGATCGAGAAGCTGCGCGAAGCGTCTGATCGCCAACGCTGTTCAGGTTAAACTTCCCAAAAAATTAGGGTTTTCTCAGTCTCCAATCACATTAGGGCTTTAGGGTTTAGTCAAATCTCTCGCGCCTCTTTTTTCTGAATCGAGTGCGAATTTGCTCTTTATTTAATCAGGTGACTTGAGCATACGGCCATGGCGGGCGGTGGGAACTTCATGAACAGAGTCGTGTCGTACCTCGTCAATGAGCTTCTGGTCGATAGCCTCGCCAACAGGTGATTTCTCGATCCCTTTGATCCTATATGATTAGCTTTGATTGTTGGATTGTTTATTTGTTGAAAGCTTCATTCTCTGGCCACACGGACATCTCCGTTCCCGATTGGCTCGTTCCCTTGAAGCAAAATTAGCTCAAAGCTTCGATTTTGTTAATCAGCTGTGGCGCCAACATTTTATGGTGCTACGGCTTTGGATGCTTTGAGGAAATTTTCGCCGCCAAAGAACGGTTCTTATTGTTATATTTCAATTTCTCTGATATGTTATGTGCGTTGTGGGGTGGGAATCTTTTGTTTTTGGGGGTGGGAACTTTTGTTTTGTGTTATCGGTTTTATTTTCGCGTGCTGGTGACTATTGAGGTAGTGGGTGAAGCTTCTCAATAAGCTGTCGGAACTGATAGATTTCTGATTGGTATGCTCCCAGAAGCGAAATAAGCTCACAAAGCCTTCGATTTGTTTCGCCTGCAGTTTAACATTTAGTTCACTGCAGCTTTGTAGGGTTGAGAATATTTTGCCATATTTCTTGGTGTTGTTGTAGGGAAGGATTCTACTGTTTTAACGCTCTCTTCTTGGTGTTTTAGTTTATGGTTTGATGCATTATGCACATTGATGTGGAGATGCTATTTACGCCTGGTGACACATATTGGTTTGAATTGATTGGACCCTGAAGTTTTTTTCTAAATGATTTCGCAAGTCGTTAAATAAAGCTTCTTTTTTTTTGGCCTTCGAGATGATTTGCTTCCTCAATAAATTGCTCCTTTGAAGCGAAATTGTCTTGATCTTCCGATGCCAAATTCCAATGACTGTAGTTTTGTCTGATGAATTATACTCATGTTATGCATGTACGTATGTCACTTTGTAAGAGAAATGTTCATACATAGACCGTAGTTAATTAGCTCAACCATGAATGTATTCCTGCTTCGCCCACGTTTATCGTGTTATGCCTAATGATGACTCTGCGTGGGCCTGTAATGATTTTAGAGATGACTTTGAAATTAACAAACCAAAGAGCTGAGATCTTTTTATTCTATGTTCTTGAAAATTATGTTCTGCATTATTGGGATGAGTAAAATCGGGTCCTACGTTACGTGTTTTTCAATCTCTCTCTGGATGTTCTAGTTTTCTCCATTTCTATTGCCCTCTATGGTGGACCAGTTATTTGGTCCTTAATTCATGACTTAACTTTTTTACACAAGAGCTTCTTCATTTAAATTACTAGGAGAGATGACTATCTGTCATTGGGATCATTGCTACCTTCCATGTCCTTACATACAAAAATTGTTTGCATGTTGTTTAGAATAGTCACAGACTGTAGTTTTTACCTGTGACGATTATTTATACCTAACTTGGAAGTTTTCTGGTTTTTCAGCCGTGCATTCCAAAGGTTTGCTGTGAAAACATCGAAGAGGATTGAAGATATTCAAAATATTGGTAACGTTTACTTTGTACTTAAAACGATTTTGTTTGGCGTACTGCACCTTTGAGTATATCATGCTGAGGGTGTTATAAATTGGTTTTGGTTATGCAGCTGCAAAGAAGAAGGAACAGCTTGCTGAGCAGATGAAGGATTTCTCGAAGAACATGGAAGATGTGAGTTTCTTTTCCTTGAAATAATTGTTCACTCCGAATCGTTGAAAACATATGTTATTTAGCGTCTGATGGCATCTGCTTTTGTTTTTCCTGGCTGCAGTCTTTCAAAGATGGTCGATGAAGGGTGATACCTGAGCGGTCGTTGGCCTGGTTTTGCAAACATGTGTGTACATATGGAATCATATTCCTTTCTTTCTCCACTGCCTTTAAGAGTGGAGTCAAATTTTGAGTTTTTAAGATTTGCATTTGAATGCTTTTTATGGGATGACAAACGCTTTCTGCCAACCACATGTTGAATATAAGTCCCAGTGCATTGAGAAAACAAAATACAGTATATGAGAATGGTTTTACTTCTAGTAACACCGACACATTTTGCGATAAATCTCTACACCTAGCAATAGGTGAGGTATTTTGTGATAAAAATATGTACTTGGCAATTGTTGGGATAGTATCAGTGTGGTTAGAAATGGTACAATTTCCCGTCTCTTTAAATATTAGAGCATATGCCAAGGGCTTTAGAAAGCCCTTCTAAGACCTTTCATTGTTGTTTGAGTGAGTGTGATAGCTATGTTTATGTATAAGAATCAGGTAGCCTAAGTTTTATATTTATAAACTATTGTTACACAAGTGTTAGTTCAATTTATTGGTGTCATATTTACTTTTTTTCGATCTAATGGGGAGTGCCTAAGGGCCTACGTGGAAATGCCTTTTAAAACAGTTAAGGTGCATTCATATTAGTAAAGGTGCTTTCGACCATATTTGGCAAAAAGTGTTCACAGTGCTCGGTTGAAAAAAAAAAAAAAACCCACAGGATTCTCTTAGTATTCTTTTGGTGAAGATTTTGGGAAGATTTTGGGAATTTGTAAATTATGTCCGTTCATCGTACATTATGCGATTAGAAATTATTTTAAATATTTTTATTTACAATTAAATACAAACAGTATTTGACAAAAATTGACTACATAATATACGATAAACGAACACGATTCACAAATTTTCGAAATCCTCACAAAGAGGATCCGGATTTTAAAAAAATAGTCATGTGTTTATTTTAATGAGCATTTTAAGTACTTTTTAGGGCCTTTTTGCTAAAACTTTCAACGTGCTTCTATTAGGAGTGTTACCAAAAGAGCCCTTGAGCATGAGGTTTTTTTAAGAGTCAAACTTTCAGACGGACCATGTAAAGTGTGACGAAAACCTTAAAAAGCACAATTACTTCAGCATGTTCTAATAAGCACTTTGTTACTAAACAAGCTAGTCCCAAACGGGTACTAACTCCTCTACAAAAAACATAAAACCCATCAAAATATTTTGGTTTTGGGCCATTCTCACTGTTACAGATATAAACCTCCAAACGCCATTGCAAATCTGATAAGAAAACCGAGAAGGGGTTTTGGCTTTCTTCGCCAGAAAACCGAAAAGGGTTTAGCTTTCTCTCCACTCCACCATCCATGGCGTCCATCATTTCCAGGACCGTTAACCATCTCCGCCATGTCAACCGCTCAGTGATCCGATCCGGGTTGCCGAATCCACCGCCACCGCTCGCCGACTCTCTCCAAAATCGGCATCTTCCACTCCTCGGACAGGTTCGTCTCCTTCAACTCTTTTCTGCTAATACTCAGTCTGCCTCTAGAGAAAAATCAAGCAAATATTCGAGCTTTCGCATTCTTTGTTCTCGTTTTGTTTCTCTGCATCCAAACACCTCTAGCTTACTTCATTTTCTGTTTTTTGTTCTTATTTAATATGTTTTTTCTGGTATCTGCTTGAATTGCAGTCGTTGGCGATTTATCAAAGATCTCTTTTTTCAACGACACCCATTACTACGGCGGAAAATCAAGGAAACCCTGAACCCAAAACCTCGGAAAGTGCAAATTCTGGTAATTCTGGTAAATCTGGTGACTCTGGTGAAGGGAACAAGTCTGGGGAATCACATGAGAGTAGTAATGCCGGAAAATCTATTCGTGGAGGGGTAATCTATACGATGCCGTATAACGATTTTTCTTAGATGTTTGGAGGTGGAAATGTGATTGTAATTTCGTTTGATTTTGTGGGCGATTTTGCAGCCTGTTTCGTGGTTGAGTTTTCTGCTGCTGGTGGCGACTGGAGCCGGAATTATACTCTATTACGACAAGGAAAAGAGACAACATATTGAAGGTAGACTACTATGGTGAGTTGGATTGTGTGTGAGTTTTGTATGTTGGACTTCAATTCGTGGGTCTGCAACTTTGTTAGCGGTGCTCTTTGATCTTGCCCGTGTTGTATTTGATGCATAACGGATACCCATCATCAAGTTGCAGGTTTATAAGGTGCTTAATGTTGATTTAAGTCAGTGATAAGTACTCATACGGCTATTAGGCACGCAATACATGATTAAGCGCGTCCATGTCACCTGTTGCCTTTTTTATTGAGTATATCTCATTGTATTCTTCTTCATTTCGAATGTTTATATCCAGTTTGCATTCAAAGTAGAGTAAAATGTCATTATTATGTATCAATTCATTGCTTCTCGCTTCTTCTCGTAGGCTCGATATCTGATTTTTCTCATTTTTACTTCCCTGTAATATAAGTTTTGTTTCTATTAATTGACAATATTTTGCTGCAGAAATATTCAAGGCATCCAAGGAAGTAAAGCAAGGACCATCTGTGGGAAAAGCTGCCATTGGGGGTCCATTCAATCTTATCAACCATGATGGGAAGCGAGTAACTGAAAAAGATTTTTTGGGGAATTGGACATTGATGTACTTTGGTTTCACTCACTGCCCTGATATCTGCCCAGATGAGCTAGTAAAGCTAGCTGCTGCGGTTGATAAATTAAGTAAGTCTTACGTTTTTACGAGGGTCAACCTTTTTTTTCTCTTGTCTCGCAGATAGTGCAGATCATAGAATTTCAATAGGCATGACCTTTAGCTTTGATCCTCTGTATCTCAATCATGTGATGCTGAGATTTTTTATGGTCTGTTGCGTGTGTGCAGAGAAAGATGCAGGGATTGAGATAGTGCCCCTGTTCATATCTGTTGATCCTGAGAGGGATACCGTTGGGCAAGTCCGTGAATATGTGAAAGGTACTTCTCAAGATTTAAGTGTGCACCATAGATATACTAAGAATGACCATTCATCACATAGTGTAAGTTCTTCTTATCTGATATGTTTTCTCAACTGTCTCAGAGTTTCATCCAAAGCTGATTGGCTTAACTGGTAACCCGGATGAGATACGGAGTGTTGCTCGTGCATATCGTGTGTACTATATGAAGACAACAGAAGAAGACTCAGATTATCTTGTGGACCATTCCATAGTCATGTATGTATTCAATCATTATGTTCTACTTTCTTGAGTGGAAGTCGAAAAATAGTTGTTTGTGTCATTCCAATATTGAAATCAATGATTATTTTGTGCAGGTACTTGATGAGCCCCAAGATGGAATTTGTGAAATTTTTCGGAAAGAACAACGATGTTGACTCACTTGCTGAAGGTATAACGAAAGAGATAAAGCAGTACAAAAAATAGCAAAATAGTTTTCCCTTCACCCCAATTGAATAATTTTCTATGGTTACTTTTCAAATTTACGTTATGAGGCGATAGCTCGATCCTCGTTTTCCTTGTTTTGGTAGTTGCCATTATCTAAGTTGAGAGAATGTACTGAGTAAATTTGTTTGAATTTCAAATTTTACATGTCTGGTTGGTTTACAATTTTACTATACAGAAAGAGGGTCTTTGCCCATCCAGGCCTGCTGGGGTAGGATTCTGCCAAGTGGCATCATTTTATATGTACACTTGTATTGCTTTTATTGGTCAGTTCCTAACTAATGAAATGTTAGTTTGGTTGGTTAAGCTGCTCGTTGGCCACCAAACTGGTTGAGTATTCAGTTTTATGAAAGATGTTCCCGCTGCAATTGGGTTACCAACGAATTCGACTCTGCTGTTCACGAAACAACCTCGGGTCCGTTTTTCGTCTTCGATTTCTCAACCATGAAGCCATTCAGACTTGGTTGTTCATGGTGTTGAATGCTGCATGTATGCATCTTGCGTTGTACCGTTAGGTTGCAAGAGCACAAGGCAAACATTACTAAGCATTTCATGCAGTACAGTGAAAAACGAGCGAAAACTCAAAACAAAGCGAGTTTCCTTCCTCTTGCTGTAGATAGGTCTTTATATGGTGACATCTTACATAGTTTTACATAAAACTAACTGCGACATTACGCTATTAAGGTTACTTTGAGGCTAATTATTAACTTAACCTACTTCACTTGGGTACAAAAACCACTTCTTATTTGACTTAAGGCCTAGTGGCGTTTTCTCGTTTGTATTTTTGATCGAGCATATACATATCCACCTCATTTTTGGAACCAAAGTTTTCCTTGTGTTTGCATATGGCTTCTCCGGTGCCCGTAATCTCAGTTTCCATGATTATCGTAATTTCAGAGGTACAGGGCATACGTGCAACTTCCTCACCTGAAAAAATATGTTTTGGTAAGATTTTCTACCAAAATACCTATTATTCGAACAAGAATCGCTATCCAGTCCTACCTCCTGTATCATATTACTCTTCAAGAAGGGCTTGAAGTTGCATATGCCTTTGGGATTCACCTGTCAACTTCGCTTGGGATATTGGCCTTGCCGAGATAAACCTGTTGCATCTCTTCTCTCCAGATCTGCAAGCACAGTGATTGGTAAATTTCTTAGTTCCCTCGGTATTTTCCAGTGTGTGTGTGTGTGTGTGTGTGTGTGTGAGAGAGAGAGAGAGAGAGAGATGAAGCATAGAACAAACTATGACTGGAAGAAATCTCAGAGAAAGTTCCACACCGTATCACGAAATTGCACCCGGATATGAGGCACATTTGTTTTGTGGATATCATTTCCACCTGGTCCTCTCTTGTAGTACTCTCTACCAATCCAGTGCGACTGCACCACAAAATTAGATGACTCAAGTTCAACTCTAGAGGAACTAATCGGACATATTATATGCCATTGCAGAGAAATCATAAACATAAAAACTTATCACAAACCAAATAAATGTGGTTCACATACTAAAGAAAACCAATTGCAATATGTGAGAACTACAAATCATGTATGTCAGTAACGCAGTAACTTACCTTCAGTGCATGTGAAAAACCTGATTGGTAGACTGAATTACGTGCAATTTCACATAGATCACATGAGCTCAATTTCCATACCTGCAAAGGAAGAACTTCTAAATATTTGGGCCTTTATATACCTTTAGCTTAAGTGAGGAGTAGAGAGTAGAGAGAGAGCGCTCACAGAAGCAGCTATACTATATTCTTCCACCAAAGGTTCTTTTGTTAAGTGGATTTGGAGAGGATCATCGGTGGAAAGAGAAACATTAAGACCCCGTAAGAAAAACATAGGAAAAGGGTTCCGATGGT